GAATTTCAATTGTTATTCGGTATTAGGGATTACGGGATTGGGATCGGTATATACCGAAATACCGATCAATACCGAAATATAAGTTAGTGTGTATTTTATCCTCTCAACTAGACTCTCACATTCACTACTACGCGACCATCAACCACCAAAAGTGTCATTTAATTATACATAGATCATTATATCACTATTTCACACTATTATTAGTCATCTCTCAACCTCAAATTCGTCAAATTAAAGATTACCAATTACAAGAAATTAAGATGTTAGCTCTAGGCAACTCAAGACTATTTGCTTAGTCTCTTCGCCCTAAATTAAACAATAAAATTTAATTTATATATTTAATTATTAATTGCAAAGGTAAGTAATTATGTATTCGATAATACCGATTGGGATACCGAGGTACCGATTGGGATACCGAAATTATTTAGGGATTGGGATTGGGATACCGAAATTATTTAGGGATTGGGATTGGGATTGATTTTAGGGTGTAATTCGGTATTCGGGATTTCGGTATTTGGTATTGGGATACCGATATCGTACCGATTTCCACCCCTACCTAAAGGGGTAGTGATTTTCGACACCCTCCTTTTGATTGGTCAGTTTTATTTTCAATCATTGGCAAGTATTAATTAAACTTGTATTTTTATTTTTTTTAATCTTGTAATTTTGGTTCTCTCACCCACATTGGAAAAGGAAAGAACTTGGGGAACCAGGAAAAAGCACCCCCCCAAATGTACAATTAATTGCCATTTTTTGTCTTTCTTTTTCGTCTCCTTCTCTCTCCATTTGGAACCCCTTTCCATTTTGATTTTATTTTCACCAGAAGCCTCCCCCATTTTCATCTTCCTCTTCCTCCCGCCGCCGCCATCACCCCTCTCCACCCTCTTCATCCATGTCGTACTCCTCCGGCGTCTTCCCCCATCACCATCCTTCTATCTCCAGCCGCCGCCGTCCTGGGATCGCCTCTGACCTACCGAGTGGGTTGCTCGCCGTCGGAGGACAAGACGCAAGATTATCGCCGGAGATCAAACAAATGAAGGCCACACCGAGAGGGAAGACGGATCCAACATTCCACGCGACGATTCTGGGCATGCCAAGAACAGAGAATCTTGTGCGGCATCAAATGATGGGGGTGACGACGTGATCGGACTCTCCTCCCGAACGCAGGAGGCACCAATGGACTGGTACGTGTACCAGTGGAGTGGTACGTGTACCAGTGGAGTGGTACGCATACCAGTGGAGTGATACTAGTAACCATATGTTCTGTTTAGGCTTAAAAAAATTTATGAACACAGTTTTTGGCTACTAATGGAAAGTTCCTATTTTGTTGACTGATTGAAATGTTTCTTGTGTTTCTTGTGTTTCTTGTGCCAGATTTATATTTCATGATCAAGTATGAGTATTGGTATATTGAGGACAGTCTTGATTAGTACCAGTTCAGTGGTATAAGTACCAATATAGTGGTATAAGTACCAGTTAATTGATATGTATACCAGTTAATTGATTAGTACCATTTAATTGAATATGTACCACTGTTGTGGTACATATACCATTGTACTGATACATGTATCACTGAAGTGGTAAATGTATCACTAGGCTGATACAAGTACTAGTGCAATTATTCAAGTCATACTTTTCTACTTGTACCATTAGCAAAATTGAAACTCATCCTAAATGTTCCCATTGTAGTGTTAGATATACTTTGGAGTTATGTCATTTAAAAGGTACATGTATCACTGAACTAATATATATACCAGTGAACTGATACACATACCACTCCACTGGTACACGTACCACTCCACTGGTACATGTACCAGTCCATTGGTGCATTTCCTCTGCCGCCTAGTGGTACGGTGAAATTAAAAAAGGTAACTGAAACGGTGAAATTAAAAAAGGTAAGAGGGAATGAATAATTATGAGTGGAGGAACCCACTATTTACTTCTTTCTCCCGTGCATAATTAATATGACAATTAATTCTTTCTCTATCCATATTTATTTGGGACAGCCATTAATACTTGTCTAATAATTAAGTATAAAACTGACCAATCAAAAGGAGGGTGTCGAAAATCACTACCCCTTTAGGGGTAGTCACGCTAAGGAAAAGGACAGCGGAGCGTTGCAACGGTGGAGTTGAATTAGTAGTTTATTTATGTGTTAGATAATTATTATATTTCCTAGTTAGTTTGGTATTTGTTTCCTATTCCTTTAAGGTTAGATTTATGTTTTTGAGACCTCTATAAATAGAGGGTGTAAGACCAACGAATTTTGTACCCAATACCCAACATTCAAGTTATCAATTAAAGAGTTTTTACTCGTGTTCCTTTGTGAACGTTTGTGCAAGACTTCTGTCGAGGATTTCAGGAGATTGTACGTGTCTCTTATCAACTAGAGAACACGTCTAGTTGTGGCGAGCTTCTACCCTATATCAATTGCCCCTTTCCACGAGTTGGTGCTGTCCGATTGGTTTCATATACCAATTGCCCTTCATCACGGTTGGGATTGTCCGATTGATTCCGCATCTATCTTTATTTTTCGAGTTCAAGAAAGGCGACATCAGAAAATCATAAAAAAGGAAGGCTGCGTACTTTGTTCATATCATCCGAGTTCGAGGGTTCTCTTCGGATTTGGATCACATCATAAATTTTTAATAAAAATTATAAATTACAGATATTACTGATGTGGCACTTTTGGGACCGTTTATGTGTGGCTGACATGTAGGCGCCATGTCATTATAGTGAAACACACCCTTGATGACCGTTAGGTCAACTGTTAAACTTAACGGTTAACAAAATGTTTGGGCTTCAAATGACTTAACGTCATACTTTGAAACATTTCTGTCATATTGAATACTTTAGTATAAAAATCGCATTTTTTTTAGTTGGGTTCTTCTAATGGAATTATCCCTATTCTTTTTGGGCCTTTCACTCTCACTAGTCAATCAGGAGATATTTCTTTCTTGGCTTTACAAAACGAACTCTAGGGGTTGAGGTTCTGACTCGCCTTTACTACAACTCCAATAAGTGGCCAAGAGAAATCACAAATTGGAAAATAGTATAGTGGTGTAAAGTTTAAATTTGTCAACCCAGGATGCTAGATGTACTCTTACTCAGTGAAATGACCGTTATTCAGCAAATCATGTGTGGTAAAGTTCATTAACAATCAATGAAAGCAAGGCAAGTAATTTAATTCAATTTCAAGGGTGGAAAACTCACTCAGGTATGTTTACCCCTGTTTCTTAGTTAGGTCAATGTTGATTACTACCTAATTTGTTCAACTTGATATTTTTATTGCAGAGAATTTGGATTTAGTTTGAAATCTCGACTAAAGCATTCCAAATCCTCATGATTAAAACAACACGGAGGGACATTATCCTCAATCAAAAATGAAATATCAAGGCGAAATGGTAATATTCCCTCTTTCGGGCGATAATTCGATACAAAGTAGTGTATGAACTCAATATTCGGGTAATTGATTCACTACCACCAATTGAATGTGCTCTATTACCCTAATAAGATTCTCTCTCATATGTTTAAGTGATAATTGAAGAATTTGATCAAGATTCAACAATTATGTGGATAAACGTCAATTGGATAAATAATATCAAATTATACAAATCAAATAACAAATACAATTGACCATAACACCGATCTAGGGTTCTACATACCCAAGTAATGGAGTGGACTACTCCATTGAACTAAGAAAGATCATGGGCAAAGTTAATCCTTTGAAACAAACGGAAACAATCCAACCAAAGTGAGGTGAAGCAGTGAAGAGTTTGGGGGAATACCGAACAATGGATGAAATTGAAACTTGAAAGACGGTGATGGAAGATATTCCTGGCCTTATCAACTTCGATGCTATAGAAAGGTCTTGTGGAACTTGGACACTTCTATGAAAGCTTAGAACCGGTTCTATTTTAAGATGAAGTCAACCCATTCCTTTATCCTCAGTTTCGAAACTTGAATCCATAAACATATGGTGCGTTTACAGTATCCCTCAATTTTAATTGGCAAAATACGCTTATATATCCAAAACTTTCGCATTCATGGCAATAATAGCCACTTTTGAAAAAAATACCAGACATAACCATATTTTTAAAATTTGTTTGACAAATTTAGCCATTTCCGTCAAATACTTTAATTCCGTTAACTAATGTGGCTGCCAGCTAAACGATACATCACGTCCACACAGACTCGCCATACCACCTGGCCGCCACGTCACATTTTAAAATTAAAAAATTATATTTTTGTATGTTGAATCTCATTTAATCTCCCTTCTCGAGACAAGAATCCGGCTACTTACGGCGTCCTCTGCTTCGTCGTCGTCGATTTATCACCCCTGCCAAAGACGAAATCAACTGTCGAAGTAGATCCAATCTTCGCCCTTGCGTCAGTTGATTCCAGTTGCAACTTAGCAAGGAAGAAGAAAACCTTGCTGACGTTAGAAAATGGTTGATTCCTTCACGAGGCCCCTATCGACCTAGAGCAAGGTATGATGGATGGCCTTGAGATTGTAATCATGTGTCAAGCCAGATGGTCGATATTCTAAGGTACCCAAATTTCCAGCGCTTCTATAACAATTCACTCAGCTCTGCCTTGTTAGACCTCGCTTTTCTTTCGAACTGAACTTCATTACATTATCAAATGAAACTACCTAGAAAATCAGCAAGCTGTTCTTAAATAATAAAAGCTCAAATTCCAATAAGCCTTAGCAGCTTCTTAGTTTTGCATAAAATTATAATTACAAACAGCAAATTACCATGATGGCCATTTCACCAGCGATTAGTTCAAGTTGGATTACGGAGGAAAAAATTGGCAGCGACAGTGATCGACAAAAATCATGAATATCAACACTAAATAAAATGTCAGTGGTGAAGTTTCTTTGGTGAAGTTGTATTGCTAAAGGAGGGCGGCTGTTGAAGAACGACGTAGAGCGCATCGGTATTTATAAAAGATAGATCCGAGAAGGAGAAGACTGGTGAAAACCAATTTTAGGGATAAGATTCCCTCTTCTGCTCTTCAGCCGAGAGCTCTTCGCTCTGCTTATTTCGGTTCCCCGGAGAAACTAATATTACAGAAGAGAATGAATGGTGGAGAACAATGGAAAGAGAGAACGGGACAGAATAATCCATTTGTATATATACAACCCCTGACCGTGAAAGTGGATTGCTGAATTGCTACGTCGAATACCTACTTTGTATTTAGTAACAAGCTACCGTTCACTCACGGCTTATGCCGCCGGATACCTTTGCTAGTAATGGTAGAAGAGCAACCCGGAATACAGAAATCCAAGAACAAGAATCAAAGGTTGTTGAAAAAGGCAGGGGAAAGGAATGAAGAGGATCCCACGAGAAGAAACTCCCTAACCCACTGTTTCAAGAGTTCCCCACTTCTGAAACAGCAACTGTTAACATCAGTCCAAACTCCAATGGCAACGAGTTCCTGCACAAACCGGATCCCACCATGAGACGCTCATTTAAACCAACCATATAGAAAGAAAAACAAAACCGTGCATGATGTTGGAACTCAGTTCCCTGTTCATTGCCCGCCAAAAGTCACTCGTTGTAATCTCTGTAAATCTAATCGAGGCAACACATCGAAGCACCAGATCTTACTAGACTATACACGTCAATACAAATCCCCTTTTACACACCTCAATGATAAAACAGCTGCAGGTATACAGATTAGAAACACCAATAGATGAGCAAGAAAGATAAAAGAAGAGAAATCACCATTCTATTTGCATGGACGATGAGACCTGCACACTTTAAGCTCGTCGATAAAAATCCCTTTTTACACACCTCAATGATAAAACAGCTGCAGGTATACAGATCAGAAACACCAACAGATAAGCATAACAAAGATAACAGAAGAGAAAGCACCATTCTATTTGCACGGACGATGAGACCTATCAAGCAAGACAATTTACCCATCGTAAGTAAAGTACCTACCTATTGCAGTAACAACCTTGGTGAAATGCACATGGCCATGAGCTCTTGAACAAGGAGTTTGAACGAGTATGGTGTGTGGACCTGCAATTCATAAGTCATTAAACAAAGTTAGTCAACACTCCGAAAATTTTGATAACACAAAAAACTTGGCTAACCTGGAAAATGTTAATGTTGTTTTTGCAAAGCTTGCACCCAAAAGACCTATTGGTCGGATTGGCAATAGCCAATAGTCCACAGCTCTGGCAAATGTGAACCCTATAAGGGTCACTCAACTCGAACAATCTTTCTTTTAACATATTGGCAGCGCCATGTGAAATTAGACAGTCCCGCTCCATTTCACCGAAACGAATACCACCACTGCGCGCCCGTCCTTCGGTGGGCTGTCTGGTAAGGATCTGGACAGGTCCCCTTGCTCGAGAGTGGATCTTGTCGTCCACCATATGCTTCAGCCGTTGATAGTATGTTGGACCCATGAATACCATACTCTCGAGTGGTCTGCCAGTACCACCCTGGTACATGCGATCTTCACCAAGTTTTTGGTAACCCGATACGAGAAGAGCTTCCTTAATACTGTCAACCTGCATCCACAGGAAAAAACAAGGGTAATTAGTTAATTACTAGATAAAAGGAGTAATGATTTAAAATTTACTTCTAACATGGATGAAAAGAAAACTTACCGTGATACCGGTAAAAGGTGTAGCATCTCGTACCCTGCCACTCTGAGCAGCCACTTTCCCCAGTAAGCTCTCAAGAAGCTGGCCAACGGACATCCTACTTGGCATCGAGTGTGGGTTCACTATGATTTCCGGCGTGATCCCTTCAACCGTCCAAGGCAGATCTTCTTGTGAATAGATCATGCCTATGGTTGCTTTCTGCCCATGCCGACTGCTGAACTTGTCTCCGAAACGAATACCACCACTGCGCGCCCGTCCTTTGGTGGGCTGTCTGGTAAGGATCTGGACAGGTCCCCTTGCTCGAGAGTGGATCTTGTCGTCCACCATATGCTTCAGCCGTTGATAGTATGTTGGACCCATGAATACCATACTCTCGAGTGGTCTGCCAGTACCACCCTGGTACATGCGATCTTACACCAAGTTTTTGGTAACCCGATACGAGAAGAGCTTCCTATCTGTGGAATTCGTTGAGTTCTCACCCTCACTTTCACCAACCTCAATCCACTAGCATTAGTAGTCAGCAAAACCTACAAAACAAATACAATTTTCAAGTATTGCATTAGAATGCTTTCCACCAAAATACTAAAACAAAGTGGACAATAATTGAAGGAAAAGGACAATTAATTCTGATACATTAGCACGCTTTCCATTTGTAACAACTCCTTGACATTCTTTTCTCCTTTTCTAAGTCACATTAGGAACTGAGTCGGAAAAAGACTTCAAAGTTACATTCTTTGGTCTTGAAAAGTTCCACTATCTTATTCTTTCTCTCAAACTTTCAGTAATCACGAGAAAGCAATATGAAAACTACAAGATCAGGCCAACAAGTTATAGAGAAGAAGCTTACTCTATCAACCGTCCCTGATTCACTACCGGGCAGACCTGTACTGTGATCACGTCGGGTGTAACGCATAAGTGGCCCCTGGACATCTCTCCCTGAGATGGGACTGGTCTTTCCAATTAAAGTATCACCTCCGCAAACCCTTGTACCCTACCAGCCATGATATTCAGAATAATGTGAAATCCCCAATTATGGACTCACAAAAAACAATGTATGTGCATCAGCAATACAAACTAACTTACAGGGGGTGTGAGTCCATCATCATCCAACTTTTCGTATGAGCGATGTCGCAGGCCCTACAACAGAAGAAAGAAAAGTACCAGCTATTAATAACATACCAGACATTATTATACAGCCAAGTAAATCATCATAAGGGAGAAAATGTAAGGTATAAAGAGAAACAAAAACCATAGTATTAGCTCGGTTAGGAACTCCAAATTCCTCTTTGATCAGTGTACCGATGTTTCTCTCCTCATCTCTGCAAAATGAAGGGGGTTCCATCATCAGAATCCCATTCCCTCTACACCAAAATATTCAATATGCTAACTTACCTATATGCACGAAAGACAGACGATCTGAAGAGTCCACGATCAATTGATGACTGATTCATGATGATAGAATCGCTCTGATTGTATCCACAATGGCTGCTGATCGCCACAATGGCATTCTGAATACATAATAAAAAAGCACTCAATGAATCCGCAAGAGTAGATAAACTAACAAACATACAAATGATGAAATCATTTTACATACCACACCGGCTGGAAGCTTCTCGAAGTTGAGTAGCTTCGTAGCTCTTGTGGTCACAAGAGGCGTTTGCGGATAGTGTAAATCATATGTTGTTGAGTGCTGCACACATGCGAGACATATGATATTATGATACATTAAAGCGGCACTAGAAAAGAGCACAACTGATGATGAACAAAATAACAAACCATGTTGAACTGGGTGTTGGTCGCATAAATTCCCATTGCTTGCTTCCCAATTGCAGATTGGTGAGTTATATATGGGGACTGATCCCATCAAGAAGTCAGCGATGATAGAACCACACTTTGAAACAAAATACTAAATTAATCTATTAAGCAATAGAAATAATTACCGGGTTATGGTTAGGGAATGGAATAAATGAGGCACAAACACCAAGAATCAATGACGGATGGATCTCACAGTGTGTGTAAGTCGTAGAACCAGCAGCTTCTGGGTTAAGCCTTGCTTTCACAAGCTCCTTTAAATCAATGTCAGCAAACCCATAGATCAGGAGATTTATCAGATATAATATAAAAATCAATCTGCTTATTCCCTGACCACAATCAGTCATCAACGTACATCGATGAGCATACAAATCATGGCTGTTTCCTCCTCATCTGCAGCAAGATACTCAACAAGCCCTGCCTTTACCAGAGAAGTAAATGGCAGTTGTTGCTGCTGAAAAAGAGCAAAATGAACTGGCTCAGCGCTACCTTTGAGAAGTTGATGAAATAAAATGGCAAGAGCAACTAAATGGAAGAGTACAAAGACAACATATCCAAGAGCAGAATAAATATGAAAACACACAAAGAAAGCACAAAGTGGCAACAAGGAGTGAACACTTCTCAAGCAACCAACGAAAGTAACAAAAAAAAAAGCAATAAAAAGGACAAGCTGCTGCTTGGAACTGGCTCACCTCTTTAAGTCGAAGAATATCCTGCTTCCTTATGAGAAGTCGTTGTCTCTCAACAACGAACAAAGGACGACGACAACGACCATGATCTGTATAGATTCGCAACTCCTTGAAACGGAAATCTTTCACAACTCCAGTTTCACTGTTCACAATACCCTGATCCGGAAGATTGATTCAACACTCAAGTCTCTTATAATCGATAGTTTTCAACTACTTTTCTTTAAACCAACCAGTAACTAACCTGCATCATTTCCACCCGCAATCTCGCAACCAACTCAACCGGGTTTTTATGGATGCCCACCCACACGCCATTAACAAAAATTTTGGTAGCTTGAGAAATAGCAGCAGGAAGGGTTTCCTACAAGGATGGAAGAGCATGTTAGCTAGATACTGAGAAAATTACGGAGCAAGACTTGGGACATGTTGAATGCAGCTCCTCCAAGGAGATATAAACCTCCAAGCTTTCAGTGCCCTGCTCTCTTAAAAACGCAACGACAGGGTCTGCGTCTGATCCAACCGTTATGTGCGCCATTAGAGCCAAATTTTTCACCAGTCCGCAGGCCTGTCCATGAGGTGTCTCGACTGGACAAATCATCCCCCATTGAGAGCTGTGAAGCTGGCCTTCTGTGACTAGTTTTCCTAAGACAAAATGAAAAATGAAAAACATGGAACAAATTCAAATGAAGTAACAATCCCTGCCACTAAGTGTAAAATGCAATAAAAAGTTCAGAAATTCCCAATACAAAGACTGATCACAGGCATGAGTGCATTATAGAATACAGTTCTATCCCACTGTACCTTCGCGCCGTTTTGGGGACATCAATCTCCGCAGATGGGATAGAGTAGAGGCAAAGGTCAGCCGATTTAAGAGCTACAAAATAAGGGACTAGATGTCACCTTCATTGTAAAGCTTGCAATCCCTCCCAAGTAATAACAGAGAGAAGGCAAACTCGAGAAGAAATACCTGTGACACTCCAGCTCTATTGCCAGCAGCACTAGCTTGTCCCCAATTCCCAGTGGCGAGTGCATAGTTAAGCCCGGCAGTGATTGTTTTTGCTTTAATAGCAAATTCCAGATCAATCACTTTTCTTTTATCAACACACTGTACCACGACAAAATGTTAATATAAGTTGCTTTTCATGCAGTAACAATGCATATTATAATAAATCTGGCATAATGAGGCTAACCTTCTGCACATAAGACCTGATATCCCTAGTCAGCCTTCTGAATAACTGCATCCAAATAAAAAGATACACTAAGATCTACTAATAACTGCAGTCATATTCCCAAAGCCTTTCAAGCAAAACAAACCATTCTGAAGACTTCTTCAAATAAAGGACCCGCAAGATCGAGCCTCTTGTTGCCAAAACGATGGATATCATCTTCTGGTCGCCGCCCAAGCACGCACAGTAGAAGGCGGCGGATGATGTATCTTCCAAAAGAGACAGATTATGTTACTGTCATAAGCCATAAATAACATATGAGAGGAGTCTTATTGAGACGGGACTCACCCGAAGTAGTAAGCTTTTTTGGTCTCCTGATATTCCTCGACACCAACATGAGGAAGCATTTCTTTTTGTAGAATATCTTTAGCATACCTGAGGGACAAAAGCATTAATGAGATGGTTGCAATTGAGACCCAGCAAGTACCTTTAACAAATATGGACATACTTGATCCTCTTTTCCTTTGTAAGAGGAACAGTTGGCCCACGTTTCCCAATGTAATCAAGAGCAACCTAAAGCCAAAATCAATGAATATGACAGGATTAATTACTATTATACTACAAGGCACAAGCAAAAGATAAGCTTAAACCACTTTCAATAAAGTAGACCAGTTACCATAAAATGACGAAAGTTAAAAGGAAAAACAATGTTTATATTTTGGGAACATGGCCAAACAACTTTACAGTCGGCCTAATGACCAGTGTAGACAAGTTTAACAAGAGAGAGGAGAGGAGAGCTACCTCTTGATTTTGGATTACAAAGGCTTCATCCAAAGAGGGACCCAGCAACTCTATCATCTCTGTATCAGAGAGATCATAGCAAATGTACTTTACTATGTCCTTATCAGCCACAATCCCAAGAGCTCGAAACACAATAACAATAGGGATTGCAGTGCGGATGTATGGTAAAGTGCTTGCAATACACTGTCCTGATTTGCCCTGTACATGATAACAGATCATATTACATAAACCAAGATATTACATTAAACACAAGTTTATTACAAGGATCAGAATACCTCCGCCCCTGTACATGATAACAGATCATATTACATTAACCAAGATATTACATTAAACACAAGTTTGTTACAAGTATCAGAATACCTTTTTAGCCCCACTCCGGGAAAGCATATTAACAAACATGGTGGTAGTTGCCGGCCCATTGTGGAACTCTCCTCTGGATCGTACTTCAGCTACATAGCTATAGTTATTTGGCTCCTTTTTCTTTGAAACATAAACATTGTTTATGTTCATTCTCTCCTGGCCGATAATCACGTGATCGCGCCCATTAATCACAAAATACCCACCACGATCAAATTCACATTCTCCATAGGTTACTGCAGTACCATCTGTCATGTTTAAGCGGCAGACACTCGACCCCAGCATTATAGGAACCTAATGAGCATGATTAATGACCAACAGTAATTAAAGGCTCTGCATCAAAATCTAGGAGTATGTACATAAACAATCAGATCTGGAACAAGTTCAATTTAAAAAACTCGACAGAATTTAGGAGTATGTACATCAACACTCAGATTTGGAACAAATTCAAAAACTCAACAGAATCTAGGAGTATGTACATCAACAATCAGATTTGGAACAAGTTCAATTTAAAAATTCAACAGACCTTCCCGATGTAATGTTTGGTGAGCGTCTGGAGTATAGTAATGTTTTCACCATCACATGCGCTCAAATTGACATCGACGTACAATGGAGCTGAATATGTCAAGTTCCTCAACCTGGCAGTTTGAGGAAATAGTACTTCTGTTTCTCCATCAGGCTCCGTCATCATAGGCTTACTCAAGCACAAGTTACTGAATTTGATTGTATACATTTGCTGCAGAGAAACCCATCTTTCTTTATACCAAATTACAAAGGCTCCCTAACAAAAATCTACTAAGCTACTGTCTAGCAAGTTCAAATACAGATGGTACCTCAGGGAGATGGCTAGGGACTTTGATATTATTGTAGTCTGCCTCAACAATCTTCACTATTGTCGTATTGATAAACGTGTTGAATGATTCAAGTTGCTGTTCAACCAAATTTTTTTCGGCAAAAAATGCATCAATAACCACCCAAGCATCTTCTTGAGCAATGTCCTCGTCTCCATTGCCTTCGCCCAACTGCATCTTTGCTTTCTAAGGTATACTCAACGAAACTACCGAGAGGAATCTGCAAATCTTGAAAACGGACACTGGAAAGAACAGTGTTTTTAACCCAATTCCGCCCGGTGAGCAAAATAGGTGACAAATTAATAGTCAAATCGATTTAATACTGTTTACAAAGTTGAAAGTTAAAACAGGATATATGGAATAAAATCAAATCATTAACTGTACATACATATAAAATAGAACTATTAATCCTCACAATTTCAAGCACAAGTCTACCACCAAATTCGTCCACCAAATAAAAGTTATAAATTGAAACAAATTGCAATCCACCCAACCCTCAACCTGAATATTTAACCACACAATGAAATTATGTGAAAAGGGATCATAACTTGCACTAGGAAAGCAACCAATTCACAATGGGTAGCTCAGAGAGCTAGATCCCAGAAACATCCTCAATTACGCAGAGTCACTGTTCAACAATATATAAGAAACTAACGAATTTGTTTATAGGGGGGGGGGGGGGGGGGGGGGGGGGGGGGATTCCCCCAAATATCCACATTCCTCAAACTGCTGCTCGAAGTTAAAAACAAGATGGAAAATCTTTTGGTGAACCTGGGGGAATAGAACAGATGCGAACTGACAGCAGCGCAGAGCTAAGGTTTCTTCGGCAGCGAAAGAGAAAGGAGAACTGAAGGCCGCGGCTGCTCTGTGCTGCTCGGGGCTGGATGGAGACTCGATGCGGTCGATTGGGGGTGGAATCCTCCCGCCGAATGAAGCTGGGATTCCTTTACCTGCCGGTGGTAAAGGAGTAATGATGAAGCGAAGTTCTCCAACTGCGCTGAGCTGCTTGGGCGATGTGGTCGATTGGCGGTGGAATCCTCCCGTCGAATGAAGCTTGGATTTCTTTCCCTGCCGGCAGTAAAGGAGTAACGATGAAGCGAAGTTCTCCAACTGCGCAATGCTGCTTGGGCGGTGCGGTCGATTGGCGGTGGAATCCTCCCGTCGAATGAAGCTTGGATTACTGTCCGTATCGTCAGTGGAGTAACGATGAAGGAAGAAGAGTAGAACCTTGGCCTTTAGATTTGGGTGGGCCCTTGCGAATTGTGAGCTTGAAGGCCGAGGCGGAAGAGTATCGCTGACTCTGAGGCACGTGTCTCTCTTTTATTGCTTCAGCATAAAACGACAGCGTTTTGAAACTGAGCTCTCGCTACATTCAGCAAAATGTTGGAAATTTGGGAGTTGTATGGAAAAAGATTAAAATATAGGAGGCCATTAAAGCTTTGAAACCCCTAGAAGGATGATTAGTAGGGACACAGGACTATTATGAGTACGAGCTAACTGCACACACTCTGTAAAACAAGGTCAATATAGTTTAGCAAACTTACGTCCTTCACAAAGAACCCAGAGAAATCAGGAATACTTGCACTTAGGAATGACAACCATTCAATTGCTTCAAATCAGAACTGCAACCTGATCCCGTTTCTCATTATCAAAGCTACTCTGCATTTAATCCGCTACCTTGTGCTCCAAGTTTGAACCAAAAGGTACATGGAGAAAGGAACTAACAACCAATACAATTAACCAAAATGTTGCAGCACTGCCATACCTCTTCCAGCATATGAGAAAGCACCAGTACAAATAATTTAGAGTATCAAGGAACGGAAAGCACCACTCGATCACGAAATTACAGATTAGACTCGGGAACTCAACTCATGATCATCATACTCCACAATGTGATGTTAAGCAGTAAAAACATATATCATTGCTCAAACATGATGCTCACACTTATGGAAAGATAAAAACAGAAAGGGGCTTAGGGTAGCACAAACTATCAGATTGTATCCTGAAATCCAAATGCAGCCCAACAGTTGAAAACATCACTGACTTTGGTAGGAAGTTAAACTTTTTTCTGAAGCATGACAATCAATCTATTCCTTCAAACATCTACGGCAAACAAAACACATGGTTTGAATGAAATCTGACTAGCACATAGAATTTGGCGAATCCAGCACTTCAAAAAGAGTTTACCAACTCCACCAGCATCAGCATAAAACTCAAAATTTAATCATGACCGTTGACATCAATATAGTAAACCAGGGACAAACGAAGTGAAGACATACCTTATTTCTACTCCCACGCCATAGTTTGATGTGATGACATGTGATTTACAACAACAAAGAAATTCAAAGTAGAGAATCTGCAACATATATTATACAATGATGGTTGTGCGAAGGGCCAATTAATTAGTTTTTATGTAGAACAGATGAAGCCTTCTCTTATTGATAGGGAAAGAATATATTAATGGACGAAAATGTATACTACTCCATCAAAATAGGTGTATATAGGTGGCTAGCTAGATAGGATGAATCTAAATGGAGAGATGGGATATTTAGAGAAGACAGCTTGTTATGGAAAGGATGCCTTAAACAAAGCAGACACAGTGTCAGGTATTCAGAATAAGTGCGGAAAGCACCATCAGTTCTGAAGGTGGAATCCATAGCAGCAGGTGGGAGGATGTATGATCCAAAGCGCAAAACGATTTGGGGGAACCGCGCAAATCCAACGTCGTCACTTGTCATCTTGTATCCAAGGCTGCCACTCAGGTATCATAATCAAACTAGTAAGCTGCGCCACGGCCATAAGATCATTGAAAGGCTTTATCGATTAAAACGAAAAGGGGAAGTGATAGTATAAAAGTAAGTCAACACTATATAATACTTGAATTTCATAACCCAATAAAGAAACGTGTATCTTTACGTAAGGACCAAAGACTGCCCATTAAAGCAGCTTTTGCAATATGTTTAATGCTTTTCTTTTTACAGTACAGTCAAAACTGGAAATGAAAATAGTGTAACGAAACATATGGTAAAACAGACTTAGAGGTTTCAAAAGGTGAAGGCAAGGTGATCTCACATACTTATGACATCGAGGATGGGACGGGTGGTGTTGTCGGCTGACAGGGGAATGATTTCATATACGAAGAGGGTTTATGCTGACGGAGTTCACCATTCACTGTGTGGGAGCTTGCAGAAGAGGACTTCACCAACTTTGGGGTGAGCCCCATTTGCTTTTATTTCCTCAACCATACCCTACGGAGCAATATAAGACCTTCAATGGTTTGAAGGTGAACCTAAGATTTCAGAATATTCAAAATGAATCCAATAATATCCAACCCACCATTGCTGGGAAGTACCTGATAAAGAAGAGGAAGTCGGCCTCACCCGGTGAAGGCTTGTGAAATGTGCTATTTGAAAGGTAAACGACAAGAACTATCTTAAGCTCATTAACCTGCGAACAAAGCAACAGGATATCATCGTAAGTCCACTGAAGAATTCATGACCCCACAGCATTCACTTGAGCAGGAAGCATAATCACACGACTGCAGATAGGCACGCATGAGAACATTGAGCTAGTATAAATAGATCTCATGCTATATGTTCATAATTTTAGCATGCTTGTGTTAAGAGGACAATGAGGCTCTCTGTCAACTAGAACAGAGGACAGAAACTAATCAAGTGCTAGCTAAATTGATCTGAATTGTGGCTAAAACTCCTATAACAATCTCCAGTCTCCCCCTATACTAAGTTATTTAAAATGAAGACTTTAGATCAGGGCCCCAAACAGTTTTATCCATGAGTGCAGCATTTTGGTTCTGTTGTTGCATAGCAGAGGAAGAAAATGCAGCATATGCATAAGTTGTTTCATCTTAGCAAGGAATGGGACAATGTAGCATCCTAGCAGAACAATAAGAGACTATAGTAACTTATCCGAAAATCTCTGTGACTAATGATGAAGACTTAAGATGAAGGTATTGAACCATTGAAGCTAAGCTTGAATCAATCCACGGTACCATAGAATGGAATAAGCAGAGGTCTATGTATGCGTTATAACAAAACTTTGACATTAACCAATTGTCATAACACAATCAATGTCTTAGGGTAAAGGATTTGACAATCACCTTTGACGACCGGAATCTTAATTCTAAAAGTGTAACCAGTATTTCATCTGGGAAGGATTGAACAAACTCTTCTGAGTAAGAGAAGAAACTGAACAAAGCAAATGAAGTTCATCAGTTACCTGTCGTTTCCAATCTGAGAAACTCAAGTTCCCATCGAAACCATCGGTGTTCTTGCAAAGGCACAACATTTAGATTGTGTTGTCTTAACAGTAGTTGCAAGTCATTACCTGTTGCAGTGTTGCTACAGCAAAACAGTGAAATACAAATTGATAAAGGCAACCAAATTGGCAAGCAGAGTATCTAAAATGATCCAGATTAAAAGGGCTAGACAAATTAAGATCAAGCCACCTACATTAGCCATAAGTGAATCAAAGGTAATACCAATATCACCTTTAATGGCCTTGTAAACCCAAGAAAGAAGAAAAGGATGGACTGTAAATCGACCACAATGAGCACGTTGAGACAGATTATGACAACAATCCATACAAGATCAATTTTTCATGTTAGGCCTCACAGCTAGCCTGATAGCTTACCAAGAGGTTCTGTTTATATCCAACGGCAAGCATTTGATTCTGTTTTATAAGTAAAAGCAACACTCTTTCAGACCACAAATTTTGTAGATAAGGAAAATAATTTATGGACCAAAGTTTATAAATAAAACAAAGGATGGCTGATTTACCAGCTCCGGAGTTCATCCATTCCCATTACTCTTACGCTCCTGTTTGGCGGTGGCTTGTTATTGCCTCCATTGTTGCTATGACGATCGGAGTTTCAATCCACCATAACCTGGGGGAAAACATCTTCTCCCCAATTTGAGAAAGTAAGACGTTAAAGAGTACAAAAACTAATACCTAAAGAAACTAAACCAAAGGCCATGGATCCATCTACCACTCACAATCCGAATCTATACAGAAGAGAGAGTTTTGGGGAAACTCAGACAGCGCACAGGTGTGTGCCACAAGGAGAAAAGGACTGGAGAATTCAGTCGGAGAAGAGAGCCACGGTAAGATTATTACAGAAAGAACAACTCATTCTCTTCTCCCTTTCTCAACACATTTCTACTACGAAATTGAAGCACTGATTATTCAGGAACATAAAGCAGACAATACTCAGCATTCTGAGTAAACACAACTTAAGCATGAGTATACGGTTTACGTTGGATAATCTTAACCGTCGGCATATGAGTTTAGGTTAGTTAAAATTTAAATTAGAGCTTCATGAAGTTAACAACAGAGTCTAACTCCAAAATGTCGAACTCACCAAATAAGCCATATTTCAGAAAGGAAATGAAAATTTTCATCAAGAACAAAGTACTTCACAAATCTCGAACCACTATGTTCTTGTTGTTGAATATTGTATACCATCTCACCAGAACAGCAGTACCTAACTAAAGAAGAAGTAGCTAAACTACAGAGGATGGGAAAATCAAACGGGAAATCCTAGAAAAAAACCCGTCATGTTAATTTGGAGAGACGCATCGTAAAAGCAATGGCATGAATAGACCTTGACTCTACGTCCGTTATGAGAATCTCCTTGCCAGCTCGTATAAAATATACTATGAATTGACCAGCAAAATCATTTTGCCGCTACTGTTCCCATGGGGAAACCGCCGATCGACAAGTGGGTGTCTAGGCATGAGATCGGCCTGTAGTCGAGGGAATGAGAAGATTGAAGAAAGGTATACAAAAGGCGGATGAATAAGAGATCTCGCCTGCTAGAAAATCAAATATGTTCTCACCACTTTTGTCCATTCCACCTCTGGATGAAAAGGGATGAGTCATAGGCAGCGTAGAGAGATTGATCTAGAGGGTCTTTCCCTTCTTTTTCTGTTTCACCTTTGTCAATCTCAAGGAAGAGAGAGGGATTTCTGGAAGAATAAAAAAAATCAGTAAGAAATGGGTATAGAAATATGAGGAAAGAACACGGAAAAATAAAACAACAAACCTTGAAACAAACAGGAAAATCACCAACTCTTCTCTTGTTGTGTGGGATTCTTGTTTTCCCTCTTTCCTTCTTCTTGCAGCGAATAGGAGAGGGTGGGAAGAGATAAGAGAAAGGAAACCAAAAAATGAAAAATGCAGGAATAAACAACTCAATACAATGCCCTTAAAGCTTTCATATATATATAATAATTTTATTTTATAATATAAGGTTTTCATGAGGGTGTAGAACCTCCTCATGGAATATAAGGTTTTCATGAGGTTGATCTTGAGCCGCCATCCAATCACGAATACCATCATTTAAGAGAATATTTCTGGTGTAAAAAAGTCTCAAATTCAGGATCTTCCGATGCACGTATTTCCTGAGAAACAAAAACATAAGCGTGTAGATTCAGAGCCAAACCGACTTCTCTAAGATTACTCAACCATAACCGGTTACTGGTACAAATAACATAAAGAAATGAGAGACTCAATCCATTACCATGACTAATAAGATGATAAGCATGGCTTTTTAAAATATTCCGCTTCTCCTCTTAGTTAGAGAGGAGCAGAGACCGCTCGATCTTATCTTGTTGGTTCTTCTTCAGTGCAACACTTGTGATAAAAGCAGCCATATCCGGAGGACTCCCTCTGTCTCCTACATTTGTAAACAAATTATATTCGGCTACAAGAGTTAGCAGTAAACGAAGGCTGCCAGCCTCAAAGCACGGCATGACTAACCCCCTCAAACTACGTATGGCTGCATAGAAATTGCCCCTTACCTTAGCACAAACTATCAATTTATATATATGCTAAAATTGAAATGCAGCCAAGGGAGTCAGTAGAACATCAAAGAATTCCCTATGCAGTTTCACTTATTTAAAGAATAACACAATGTTTTCAATCTAATTCTTCATGTTATCTACTGCAAACATGAAGACAAGATGACTAAAATTAACTCTGAAAAACACATGGAATCCAACAAAGTCCAGCATGCAGTACATTCTAAAGAGCAGTTAAATAACACCCTTGAGCACTGACTGCATCAGCATCAATTTCAGGATTCAGTCATAACCATGGATGCCGCCAATATTGTAAACCAAGAAGAAAACGAACTGAAGAGATAACCTTATTTCAACTCCCACCCGTGGAACGGATAGAAATGGGGAGCACAGCACAGATATGTCTTGGTAGCTAGCTAGGTAGGACGAATCCAAAGAGAGAAATGTGATCTAAGAGAGTAGAGCTTATCATAGAAAGGAGCGGTAGTAGACAGCAGGCGCGGTGTCGGGTATTTGGAAAAAGCTTCGAAAGCACCATCAGTTCCAAAGGTGGAATCTTTAGCAGGACGAGGGAGGTTGTGTGGTCCCACAGCATAAAACGATGTCTTGCCGCTGGAGCACTGGAATCTCACATAATCAACATCGTAGTCTCATGTTGAAGGCCGCCACCCTCCAGTATCGAAATCGAATACTACACAGTTGCGATAGATGCCATCTTTGACAACAAGCTTTCCATCGACCTCGAACATGCCCCCAGAAGGCCAGCGCCAGCTAGGAGTGCGAGGCTCTACTGGTCGAGGAACGAGCCAGCGCCAGAGTCTTGTCGCAACCTCAAATCCCGCCAACACTAAATCCTGGAAAAGGCAGTAGAAAGTCCCTCTCAAGTACACCACAGACTGCAAGCTCAGCTGGGTTTCGAAGGCAGGGTTACAGATGGCTTCTGGTTCCATAGTCCAATTACTATAACTACTAGTAGTTGCCACATCAGCTTCATCGAGTACCACTGCCTGGCACGTGCCAACCGTGATCTCACTCTGGCAGCGATGCTTGGAATAATAAGGTTCATAGATATTGCGGTGAAGAATGGAGAGGGCGAATACTTGGATGATGGATGAATCATGATCCACCGGAGGAGCAAAGGTGATCGCAGCCACTTTTCCTGGTACATAGAGTGAGGGGAGGTTCATCATCTGGTCTCTGAATGGAGAGTAGAGGAACAATTCGAATCCTTGTGACAAGTTATTAGAACCCAAAAGTACGGGGGGATTTTGCTCTGGTCTTTCGTTCTGATGCTTCTTTACCAATGAGAAGACAACCTTTTCGCGAATCAAAAGCTACTATTCTGCTGTCACGACTGCCGAACTCCTTTCTTTTTCTCAGCGGGTACACCTTTTGTTTCCATGGATCAAATATCACTGGATCAATCACATGCTTGCCATTCATCAACCACGGCTGCCGTTCCATCAAGTTTAATGCCGTTGTATCCTCGCACAGCAAAATCATACGTGGAAGAAAATCCTGGTCTAGGGCTGGTGCCGGAGGAACGTCTCGCCTGCTCTTACACACGCTATGGCAACAAATTTGATCAAAATAACTCAAACGCCCAAACACGATTCTCATGATTTCCACCGGCAGCTCAATCCAATTTGGCCCTCCGCTGCTGCTGCAACCTCTTAGTCTTTGACATTTTCTAACGGTCCACTTCTTCCTCATCTCCCTATTTGCTTCTTCTCGAACTTTAATTGAACATCTTTCTCTCAATTGTTTGAATCGCAACTATATAAACAGCAAGGAAATCCGAATCTATAACTGAAAAGGATATCCGCATCAAACACTGCAAAGGAAATCCGGAAGGGAAACGGTAACGGGGACAAAAGCCCTTACCTTTACAGACAACAATCACGCTTCTCCGTCAGATCTCGACTCTACTTTCAACGATGAATTCCGGTGAAGATGGTGGAATACCCGACCCGTCGGAGATATGGATCTTTTATGCGCCAGTCTTCCAGACGCCTACTTTAAACGTCGGTCGGCTTGTGAGCATAGATTCGATGATGATAATTGAGCTTTCTCCTCAGATGGATGAGATGGGAGAAACTGAGCCAAATGCTTGCAGGAGTTGAAAGTGAAACAGACAAGAGAAGAAGGCCAGGGCCAGGGTGTTCAAACGAATTGGTTACGGAGGTACCTATAATGAACTGTTATTTACCGCCCGTAAAATTATTATTTGCCGCCCATAACTTTGAGTTAAATGACACTTTTGCCCTTTAGAAACTCTACCACCAAACACTGCTTAGCCTCCGACGAGAATCCCTCCCTCTGCCGGTAAATTGCCGCCGGCCACAATACCAACCTTCCCCAGCACCCTTAATCTTTTCTCCCCGCTTTTCTCCAAGGCACGCTCAACCTACCAAAATTTTCCGCTGGGGACGGCGATCAACACCCATGATCCCTCTCGATTGAAACTCTCATGTGTCTTACCAGCATTGGTTTCCCGACAACATCGATCATCTTCCTGGCATCGTCACCGTCCGACGAAGATGCGAGGTCCGACGTTGGCTTTCGGATGGCGGGGATAGGATCGCTCGCTGGTTGTCGGGCCAGGTTAGCGGCTCCATTCATCGGCGTCGGATGGGACGGGGTCCACCGACGCAATCGGACGAGGTCCGCCCGTCAGCGTCGGACGGTGTCCGCTCGCAGCAGTCGGACGGGGTCCGCTCGCAGCAGTCGGACGGGGACCGCTCGCCGCAGTCGAACGAGGTGCACCCGCCGACGTAATCCCGGCGTTGGACCTGTCCCGGTGACTTTTTCTGATAATCACTTAATTATCAAGGACAATGGAATTTTTTTTTTTTTTTTTTGTTTGAAGGGAGGACAATGAAATTTGTTGCTACCAAGGAAAACGAATTTTAATAATTCATTACCTATTCTAGGTATAATCACTCAATTACATAACCTAATGTGTTTGTCTCGTAAGTGAGTTTAATCACTTAAGGTAATTCTTTAAATAATTAACTTGATTCCATCTAATTGCATAACCTAACGTCTAATTGCCCAATTAACTTGTTTCCATATCACCAACGAAAATTTTATTTTAATTAAGGTAAGTTTAGGTTTTTCTTAATTTCAAATTGTTTGTCTGAATTTAATCCCTTTAAATAAACCTTTAATAATTAAAAAATATCACGAAAAAGGTAATTACTTTAGGTTATTCTTAATTCCTGTTTTTGTGTCCGTCAGTTGAGTATAATCACTTTCGGTAACTCTTTTTTTTTTTTTTTTGTCAAAATAGTTAAGGGAATAAATGTAGCAAGGCTGGGTTTTGAACGTGGAATTAGTTAAATTAATGATTATTTAACAGAATGAAATTAAATTAGTTAGATTAGTAATTAAATCATTCTAGTATGTAAAAACAAATAAATTAGAGAAAATAGTGATAAAATTAGAGAAAATTATGTAGAGTTTGATTAAATATTTTATATTATGTTAAAGTTGGGTTTGACCGAATTAGGTTTAATCTTTGACCAATTAGGATTTAACGAGTTTAGGGTTTGACTTTGACTAATTAGGGTATGGTTAAGCTGAATTAGGGTTTGACCACAGTTGAACCAACAATGACGATAAGAAGAAGAAGAATCTACTAGATGGAACTAGACCAACAGTGAGGATAACAAAAGGAAAGAAAGCATCTATCCCTAGGGCTGGGAAACGGTGCGGTCTGGTCCAGACCAGACCATATATACGGTCTACGGTCCAGACCGAGAGGCTAAAGTATAGACCACAGACCAGACCACAGACTATACGGTCTGGTCCAGACCACGCCTGTGCGGTCTGGTTCGGTCTGGTCTGGTCCAGATAGACCACACTCAACGAAAAATGAAAAATTTGTTTAGTCAACCACACAAAAAATTGAACCAATAACCAAGAAAAATAATTGTTATTTGCCTTAAAACATTAATCCTAACATGCATGAATAATTTTGATACTCTAAATCTTAGTACATAACCAAGATACAAAGTAAAAGCATCCCAGCTTGCACCATAATGTCATAAACATTAACATAATATGGAGACACGATTATCTCTACTCTGTGGTTAAATGTGGTTGTAACATTAACATAATGTCATATGGAGACACGATTATCTCTACTCTGTGGTTAAATGTGGTTGTGAATGAAGAAGGGAAGAGATTCACAAAATTAAGGTTGAGACTTGGGTGTCGTTGTGGGGGTTTGGAGAGTGGTCGAATGGGCTGTTAACACGTATTGACAAGTCAGTTGGGTCTACGGTTTGGTCCGGTAAACCGCGGTCTAGACCAGACCAGACCATGAGATCAAATTATAAAATAATACAGACCATGGACCAGACCAGACCATACTTCACGGTCTACGGTCCGGACCAAACTGTGCGGTACGGTTTGGACCACGGTTTTTCTAACGGTCTGGTCTATTTTCCCAGCCCTATCTATCCCCCTTCATATACCTCGTACCCCTCTCAAAACCTAAGTTCTCATTCCAACCAAATAACTACCTTCAACTTCGATTCATTAAATCCTACTACGATAACATTTTAGAGGTAAAATTGTCTTTGCCTCCACTAACAACAATCATTCGCATCGTCAAAATATACATGCTAGGCTCAAGAAACACCTCATTACGACTCACATAGCACCCAAAAATCTTGATTGAAATTTTGTCACTATTCATTCATTTTTGTCTGGGATGTTCAATCGAGAAACTGTCAATTTTACCATATTTATATCCAAATTTTAAGGGATCGGTGAGGGTTTCAATAATTTTTCAAATTGATGTCTATAGTAATTGTGAAAAGATGTTTTTGCCCGAACCTCCGCAAGCCACAAAGAGCCCTCTTTACTCCCCGAATCCTTGGATAAATTTTGATAAAACATATTTTAAAGATGATCTAATTAATTATGAAATTAATAAAATTAAAAATGTTTTAATAAATTTAATAAATATTTTATAACCATTCTCCATAATTAAAATGAATTACCCATGTCCAAAAAAAGAAATAGCCATTATTATAGAAGTATTTATAATAATTTACAATGAAATATGCATACTTTTTACACACTACCTTTTTGATAATTTTAATTATTTATTTACTAATATACTTAACTTACAAATTCGGTACAAATTATTACATCTTAAAAGCTGTACCATTAATGTTGTCATTTAGTGCTCTGTTATGTATTCCTTCTCAATTACTCACATCCCATTATATCAAATCCATTTCCTTAATTAATAGCCGACTAAATTAGTGTTTAGAATTATCAATTATTAATAAAATTTTCCTTATTTTATTCCCCTTTTCTCTCCCCCGTAATCCCTCCACCGTCACTAAAATTGGGAGAGGTTGTCGCCGCCGCCGTGGAGAAAAAAATTACTATCGCCATCGAGGAAGGAGCTCACCACTAAGGGCAGGCTTTTTTTCTTTTTTTATTCTCCCTCCGCTCGCCGGCGTCGGGCGTGGTCCGACCGGCGAGGTCGGACGGGGTTTGCCACCGACGACGGAGGGGATCTCAAGCTGGCAGCGTGATATCGCGCTGGCGGCGGCGGTATTGATATGGCACCGACTGATATTGTGATCTGCTGTTGGTGTAATGGTTGAATGAGAGTTTGTGTTATAAAAATAAGGGGTAAAAAGGGTATATTAACTAAAATTATGGGCGGCAAATAGTAAATACTCGGGCGGCAAATAACAACTCTCTAACTATATTAACCCGTACATTCGGTTAATTTGGTTTGATTATTTTGGATAATTAGTTTGGTTTGGTTTGGTTTGGTTAAATAATTTAGCTTATTTGGTTAGGTGGTTTGGTTTCAACACTACTAACCAATGAAATCAATTAACCAATTAATGATACATCTAATAGACAAAATTATTTATACTTCCATGCAACCAACGAAACCAAACTTTCGTGATTCCCTATTTTATTTCTATGTGCACAACAAACTAAAGCATTATGAGTCAAAAATTAAATGGGTCTGCCTATTTACTAAACCAAAACATTTTGGACAACTACTAAACTGTAGGATTACGTACAATACCATGACACTTATCTTAAACTATGTATAGTTTAAATATTTTATATGAGAGCTTTAACTTCCTGATCAGTGGTATTGATATGTATTTAATATTTATGTGAAGGATTTGTTGTAAGCTAACTATATTAGGTGCAGAGATGATGAATGATGTATTAACTCGAATGATGATGATAATCATGGATGGTTAGTCTTATTATTATTGCTTATATATAATGATAGTTTACGATAGAAATATAATATGGTTATGTTTTTATTCATTAACATGATAATTGTTTTCATGTAATGTTACGCTATTTGGTTAATCTGATTATCCGATTAACCAAATCAATTAATCTTTGGTTTGGTTAATTTGGTTTTTGTGTTAATTTGGACTGCTTGGTTAAGACATTTTATTCCATGGTTAATGAAATTTAGCCTTAATTGGTTTGGTTATTACCACGGTAACCATTTGAACACCCCTAGCCACGGCAGATAAAGAGATATAGCTTACAAGTGTTGTTATTTATTGGCGTCGAAGGGTTTTGTTTTGTCATTGCTGCTAGGGGTGGAAATCGGTACGGTATCGGTATCCCAATACCAAATACCGAAATCCCGAATACCGAATTACACCCTAAATCAATACCAATTCCAATCCCTAAATAATTTCGGTATCCCAATCCCTAAATATTTCGGTATCCCAATCGGTACTTCGGTATCTCAATCGGTATTATCGAATACGAAATCAAGTACTTTTACAATTAATAATTAAATATACAAATTAGATTTGATCGTTTAATATAGGACAAAGGGACTAAGCAAAGACTCTTGAGTTTGGCTAGAACTAGGATATGGATAAGGAGAATGGAGGAGAGGTGACATCTTAAGTTTTTGACATTGGTAATCATTAATTTGACGAAGTGGAGGCTGAGAGAAGACTAATACTAGTGTTTCTTTTTGGTGTTATGAAAATAACAATAGATTGGTGGTTGAGGGTCGTGTAGTAGTGTATGTGAGAGTCTAGTTGAGAGGATAAAATACACACTAGCTTATATTTTGATATTGTTCGGTATTTCGGTATATACTGATCCCAATCCCATAATCCCTAATACCGAATAACAATTGAAATTGAAATTGAAAGTAATTTGCTCATTGCCTAATCTCTAGATCAACTTTCCATCATGAACATCAATCATCGCTTTCTAAGTATCAAGGAAAGGTCGACCAAAGATAAGAGAGTTCAACATCAGAAGTAATATCTGTGATCACGAAATCAGCAGGGAATATGAAGGTCCCTACTTTCACAAGCACATCTTCTATTATCCTCTTAGGATGCGCGATGTATTTGTCAAC